CGGTCCTGCTGTTTTCTGCTTGGGATTGTTTATGCTGCCTATTTTATATAGATAGACATGAAAACAAAATATAAACCTACGAATACTTCCAGGTCTGTCTGCTGACCCTTATGAATGTATTCAGATCGGGTCTGATGAGGTGCCAAGCCCTGCCACTGAGTCTGATGTCTATTTTCAGAATTCCTCAGGAACTTTGTTGCTTTGCTCCCTTGCTGCTCTTTTAGGATCCCTTCATGTTATGCCCTGGTGTGCGGGGGTCAGACTGGGCACAATTCCCACACTGGGTCTCTGGTGCTGCCCCCATAGCACTGTGGATCAGTAAGGGGATGTCGTGTTTTGTGGTGAGGCCAACCCTACAGTCTTTGTCAGAGAGGATTCTACGGAGGCTTAATGCACATGGGGATAGATTTGGACTTCTACTGTCATCCACAGCCTTCTGCAAACTGGGTATTTAGATGACTGCTTATTTGAAGACAATTCTGTAAGACTCCAGATGCTATTCTTTCTGATAGCTGGGTACTATCTGATTTCTTCACCATACTTTGCTATAGCACCCATATATCCAGTGATCTCTCCATAAGGGTAAGTATTGAACAGGGTGATGCCATTAAGAACTAATTGTTCTTAGATAGGGTTATGATTAACAAGCTTACAATTCTGTTGTTCTTATAAACAAAGCATTCAAGACCTTAAGACTTAGTTCCCCCTCTCTCTTCATACTAACATCCTTTCCCTACTTTCATCATCCATCTTCTTCAGGATGACACAACCTCACTGTTTCTACTTCTTCACTTCCCATTCCCTTCTTCAAAGAAATTTAAAACCTATGTAAAAAGAGAACAGTATAACTAGTCCCCACATAGTCATCACAGGGCTTTGGTTAAGGGTTCAGCAACACAGACCTGATGGTAAGCTTCCATGTAGATTGCAGCCTAAAAGCCCTCTGAGGAACGTCTACTTTGTTACATGAGGCCACTGAGAGTAAAAACTCAATCCAGCAGTACCGGACAGCAATGGGTATATATCATCAACCCCAGTTTCAACTATTACCCAGCCACAGTCACTCTGCTTCAGCTATCTTCTCCTCTTCGGATCCCCACCCCCACAGTACTAAAATAGAACTCTTTAAAAAATCTATAACCATAATACACTATACATCGAAAGAATGATTCCCATCTAAAAGCCAGTCATCAATGTTTATATTTCCTTGTCTCACAAATGATTTTTAAAATTTGTTTGATTCAAGATTCAAATAAGAGACATACATTGCAATTGTTGTTTTGTATAACCTATAGGTTCTCTTTCTACTTCCTTCCTCTTTCTTCTAATTTATTTGTTGAACAAACTATAGCATTGTTCCGTGCCACTTCCCGGTCTGGCCTAGGCAGGACTGTTACTCTAGTTGTGATGTTAACAGCTACTGATCACTGACAGGATCAGTTAATTCACTGTGAACTGCAAATTGGTGATATTGCAATTGTGCCATTCTTCCTCACTTGTAAGGCAGAATATGGAATACATCTATGAATAAAAATCCTCATCTCTAACTGGCAATCTTTTTTAAAAATCATTTTATGGGGGCTTGAACAACTCTTATCACAATCCATACATACAGTCATTGTGTCAAGAACATTTGTACATTTCTTGCCATTATCATCTCAAAACATTTTCTTTCTATTTGAGCCCTTGGTATCAGCTCATTTTCCCCACTCTCGCCCTCTCCCCCTTGATAATTTATAAATGATTATTTTTTCATGATTTACACTGTCCAATGTCTCCCTTCACCCATTTTTCTGTTGTCCATCCCCCAGGGAGGAGGTTATATGTAGATTATTGTGATCGGTTCCCCCTTCCTCACCCACCTTCCCTTCCCCTCCTGGTATCACTACTCTCATTATTGGTCCTGGGGTTTATCTGTTCTGGATTCCCTGTGTTTCCTGCTCTGATCTGTACCAGTGTACATCCTCTGGTCTAGTCAGATTTGTAAGGGAGAACTGGATCCTGATAGTGGCAAGGGGTGCAGGTGGGGGGAGCTTTAGGGAAGTAGAGGAAAATTGTGTTTCATGGGTGCCATACTGCACCCTGACTGGCTCATCTCCTCCCTGTAACTCTTCTGTAAGGGGATGTCCAGTGCCTACAGATGGGTTTTGGGTCTCCACTTGACACTTCCCCTCATTCACAATGGTATGATTTTTCGTTCTTTGATGCTTGATACCTGATCCTATTGACACCTCGTGATCACACAGGCTGGTGTGCTTCTTCCATGTGGGCTTTGTTGTTTCTCAGCTAGATGGCTGCTTGTTTATGTTCAAGCCTTTAAAACCCCATATGCTATATCTTTTTATAGCTGGGCACCATCATCTTTCTTCACCACATTTGCTTATGCACCCGCTTTGTCTTCAGCTATTGTGTCGGGAAGGTGAGCATCATAGAATGTAAATGGCAGTCTTAAGGTATTGTTCAGATATTATGAATATAAGCACTTAAATATAACTGATAAGTTTTAATCCACTGTAGTTATTAGCCATTGATACTCAAGTGGGAATACTTTTAGGGTATGCCTTAACAATTTGAATCCTACTATAATTCCCCCAAATTTTGAAAGTGTCCTAAAATTTCTAACACAACAAAATGTTTAATGGTGTATCTTGTATATTTCAGCATGCTCATTACCACTAGGTGGTCATTATTTCTAGAAGATAAAAATCATATTTATACTTCTAATTTAATTTTAGATCTAAAGAGTTTTCACTTTATCTTCTATCCATACCTTTCTGTCAATTCTTAATGACATCAATATAATTAAACTATCTTTAATTCCTCAAATATTTTTAACTGAGTAGAAAATCTTAAGGCAATATGAAATAATAATAATTTAATTTATAAATTAATCAAGGGTTTGGGAGGGAGGGTGGGTGGGGGAGATAAGAAAAAAAATGAGGAGCTGATACCAAGGGCTTAAGTAGAAAGAAAATGTTTTGAAAATGATGATGGCAACATATGTACAAATGAGCTTGACACAGTGGATATATATGTACGGATTGTGATAAGAAGTGTACGAACACTCAATAAAATGATTAAAAAAATAGTAATAAAAAAAGAAAATCTTAAGGGAAGCAAAATAGATTTTGTTTCATGTAATATAAGCAAAACAGAGATCTAATGTACAACTCAAGACTGTGACATATTTATATGGTACCTGATAATTATTTAGAATAGAGACTGACAAAAGAAGAGTCAACATCGAGACATTCCTGAAATCCACTCCTTCTCTTACCAGTTCAGCAAAATCTGCAGCCTCCAAGTTGCTCAATGCCATGTCTAATTTCATCTATGTGAAAAAAATAAATATAACATTTGACTCATATTAGTTATTTTTCAGTAACGGTCATATAAAAAGCAGTTAACAATTATTTAAATAATCAGTATCTTGTTCTTCTGTGTTAGTTAAGCAATGCGTAAAAATGAAATATCTTTATTTTTAGTTTTAGAATTACAAAGTTAATTTAATGTAAGTCATTTTTTAATTAATTCTAAATGATCATGAAATAGGCTTTCCCTGTATTGAATGTATACAATGTATGACATTAAATAATTCCTGATGCAATTTTAAAGGTAAGAAAAAAGAAATGAACCCATTTAGCTTCTTAGAAGAAATGAAAATCAATCTTAATGAAGCAAGCCTACATTTCAGTTGTTTTGTTTTTCCATTTCCTGTCTGAGTATGTTTTTCTATAGTTGAATTCTTGGGGGGAAAAAATCAACATTCTTCTCTGTCTCTAAGACACATTGTTTAATATGAAAGGGCTGCCAATCTTTATTCACGGATTAAAACATGAAGGCAAGTGTCCCCCAGGAATCTGGCACAGTTTAGCTACTCTATAGAGTTTATTAGAAAAATCTCTTACTTAGACTCTGGTGCTTTTGTTTCTATGGAAACTTCCCAAACTCTTTCATGTGTTGCCTCTGTTCTTCCTTGAAGCATTCAAAATTTAAAAACAGAATAAATGCAACTGGCAGTTTAATCTGCAGTACATATAAGTAAATTTAAAACTTTTAGCAACTGAAGTTTATAGTGTCCATGCTACGTATGGGAAAGAACCTTCTTTTCACTTGTTTGTTCTAAAGGCTAAAGCATTCTCTCTCCACAGGGCTGTGTTTCACAAACTGTGTCTTACTGAGATGACAAGAGCTTTTGAAACATTAGTCAAGCCTTTCAATGCTTTTTCCTCAGTATGACTTATTACTCATTTGTGATCTCTATTTTTCACCATCCAGCAAATATTTCAGGTCCCTCCTCCCCTCTTTTCTTGTGACTATAGTTTCCTTGTGAAAATTACAGGACAAAAAGAAAACTACTTACAAAAATGAACTCAAGATGGGTCAAAGACCTAAATGTAAACCCAAGAAATGTGAAAACCATCAACAAAAAAGGAAAAAAGGCACAAACTTAAGGGCCCTAATATATGGAACAAAAACACTACAAAACATAACTGAAAGTATATAGACTGTAGAAGACGAGCTAGAAGAATGGGGCCTCTTAAAAATTAGACACTTACATGCATCCAAGATTTCACCAAGAGAACCCACAGATGGAAAAAATTTTCAACAATAGCATTTTGAACAATGGAGTAACCTATAAAATTTACAGAAAATTTCAACAGCTCAAATGAAAAAGACAAATAATCTAATCAAAAAATAGGCAGAGGACATGAATTTACCAAAGAAGTTATCAAGGTAGCCAACAAACAGGAAGAAATGCTCAGGATCATTAGCCATTTTAAAACTTTCAAACCCAAACCTACGGCTATCACATTGATTCTAACTCACGCTAATCACGTAGTGAGGAATGCAAATCAAAACAACAGTAAGAAATTTGCTCACCTTGGCATAAATGACAAAGTTCAAAAAACAGAAAACAAAAAATGTTGGCCTAGGTGTGGAGAGACTCGAACCCTTACATACCACTGTTGGGATAAAAGAGTATAGTGCTCCCTTAAAAACTGGAAATCGAAATAGCACATCCAGCAAGCCTAGAGGAAGAATGAGCTGCACCGTGGATATATGCACACCATGCTAATCGCAGTAGTATTTGTAACAGTAAGAGGAGGGAAGCAATTTAAATGCCCATCAGTGTAAGACGGGATAAACTACGGTACATACATGGATGAAATATTAGAAAAAGTTAAGAATAATGATGAATCTGAAAAAATCTCATAATATGGATGAACCTAGAGCGCATTAAAATGAGTTCAACAAGGCAATCGCAAAGGATAAATATTTTACAAGGCCACAATAGTAAAAAGTCAAGTAAAGATTTTCAGACTAAAAAAAACATTCTTTGACGGTTGCCAGGGGAGAGGAAGGTAAGAAGGGTAAGTCAGGGCTAAAAGGTAGGCATGGGTTCACTTGGGTGAAGGGGAAGACAAGAAACAATGAGCCATCTCATTACATAAAGTGATGGAGGGAGGGGAAGACACAGAGAGTAGTGTAAGAAAGAGTTAAAGACAACAGAGGTAAATACTTCTATATATACCATTCTGCAGTAACTGTGATCTATGAGAAGATGCGTGGATAATCATGACAACCAGATGGGTGAGGGAGGAAAAGTGCGCATATACCCCACAAATATACTATAGAGATTTGACATTTTGGAATTAAAAAATAATGGAATTTTTCCATAAATATTTTAAAACCCCTTGTGTAAGTGCAGTTCATTAATTGTGTCATGATCTACACGGTTGGAAATGTATGAAATTGACCGTACCTGTCTTTGTGGGGCAGTCTTACTCGTGTGACTTAGACACAGCTTAGCACTGTGGAAAGGTTTTGCTCTCACTCGTGGTGTCCAGAGCCTTGGTGGTGTCGTGGCTACACCCCGGGCTGCTATCCCCAAGGTCAACAATTCGAGACCACCAACTGCTCGACTGAAAGTAGATGGTAGCTTTTTACTCTCATCTAGAGTTACAGTCTCAGAAACCCACAGGGGCAAGTCTACCCTGCCCTGCAGGGTCGCTATGAGCCGAAACTGATTTGGTGGCAGTGAGAGTGAGTCCTTCGGTTAAGGATAGTGCTTATGAAGCCCATCATTGTTCAATTTCATCTGAACATAGGCACAGTCCTAACTTGGTGATCTTAACTTATAAAATCAAAGTCACAAAACGTTAAAATAGGATATGCTATGTAATACTGTATACAAGTTCAGAATACGTTGGGAAAGTATTCTATTTAGAAGTAGGAATAATCCTCTTTATTTATTTAAATAGATCATTTTATTGGGGGCTCTTACAGCTCTTATAATAATCCATACATCCATTGTGTCAAGAACATTTGTATATATGTTGCCACCATCCTTTTCAAAACATTTGCTTTCTACTTGATCCCTTGGTTTGGAAGTAGGAATTCTTAATAAGAACTGCTACTATGATTTAACTGATGAAATATTATCTTGATTATTACAATAATAATAGCAAATATTTACTGAGTATGTACTGTCACTGGCACCAACACCAGTGCTTTACTTGGGAAAATATTCTAAATTTGCATAAAAATTAAAAGTTGAAGTAAGATGCAAGAGCTAACTTGAACTTAGAATAATTTTCCTTTTAAATTCACTGCAGTGGAACACCAATTTCATTAATCAATGGTCTCTGTAATTCTTATCCATAGTACTGAAAATAACAAAAAGCCCAAAGAAAAAAGAGAAGACAAAGAACTATAGGCAATCTGTTTGGATTCTTGCTGGTGACACCTAAAATTACCTTAATTTCCTGTGGAAGTATGAGCCACCGAACTCCAGGAAGACAGTCGAGAAGTACTGCACTAGAAGCATCATACTCTTGGGCACTGAAGCTGGCATCTGAATGCAGGTTAACAGGCTGAAGTGCTCTTTGAAAGAACAAGCTGAAAAAATGATCTAAACGAGGCACGTTCTCAACGTGGCAGAAAGCACTGAAACAAAACAAAACAGGAACTGTAAGTTAGAACAACATATGGGACAAGTGCATGTTTTTGTAAGCTCTTAAGGGAGATGAACTTTTTTCATCAACACAGGCTCACTCTCTTCTTCACCTTCCTCCCTTAATAAGAACCACTGCTATGACTTTATTGATGAAATGTATCATGATCATCACAATAATAATAGCAAATATTTACTGAGTGCATATTACGTGACAGGACCATATGAGTGCTTTACTTACATGTTTTCAGTTCTCTAATCCTTGTAAGTAGATACTTTATTATTCCCATTTTCCATATAAAGTAATTACTGCTCAAACTAGTAAACAGTTTGTCTAAAATCAAACTGCTAATAAATGAAGCTGAATTTGAACTCAAGACTAAGCACAGTTCTCAATTTTAACAAGAATGTTAAGACTTTAATAAGACCAAATTATACCATCTCTATAGCTAGTAAAATTACTAAAAGAGCCAATGATGATTTTTGAAGGATCTATCTTAAGTGAACCAAGGCCAAAAACATTGGTGGATGGACTGAGGTAAATTTGTGAAGCATGTGTTAGACAGGGTTCTCTAGAGAGATAAAACCAGATTGCTGGTAATTTTATATATTTATTCATAAAGATAGTTAGATATATAACACAAGAAATGAACTGTTAAATTATATACACATAGATAGGTAGAAAGATAGGTAGATAATACAAGAAATGAACACTTAAATTATAAAGCAGTACAAATGGCTCAGTGCACTCACTCCCATGAGAGTTGTGAGACACGAGCAGTCCTTCAAGTCTTGAGGGCTGCCAGATCTACTTCTATAGAGAGAGCTAGGCTATACAAGCACAGCAGCAAATAGCAAGGCAGGTCACCAACTGTCAGCCAGGTCACCAACTGCCAGTCTCCAACTCCAGACATGTAAATTTCAATCGTGAGGTCTTAAAGGGACCTCAACTTACAGTGACACAGTCCACAGGCTAGGCATCCCACAGACAGTGTAGCCTCTAAATTGAGGCACAGAACAAGCAAGACAGCCACACACTGGTCCTATGATCAAAGAACAAGAGACAAGAAAGGCGAGGCTCACCGAGCCATTTATCTTTCCACCCTTCAATTAATCCCACTTGTGTTTATCGGCCAGGCTGGCACAATAAACTAACTATCTCAATCCACCCCTTGCCAACCTGGCACCTGTATACAATTCTTTAGTCATATATACTTACATAATTTCCAGACATTGATGAAATCACACATACTTATCATCAATCATCTATCATACATATAAATGAAAACACACTGAGCCCAAATGTTATCTGATATATCATACCTGAACAAAAGAAAGATATGCAA